CCCGTTTCCCCGCTTTCCCGTTTCCCCGCTTTCCCGGTTCCCCGCTTTCCCGGTTCCCCGCTTTCCCGGTTCCCCGCTTTCCCGGTTCCCCGCTTTCCCGGTTCCCCACTTCCCGTTTCCCCGCCTCCCCGTGCCCCCGCTTTTATTAGATATGTCCTCCGGAAAATCGATACACTTCACGGCTACAGCGATTTCAGCGAGATTCATTAGTAAAAAGTCAGAGGCCAGTGATGACGGCAACCCCCGATAGACTTCTCAGGAGCTCCCAAAAATCCGCCCCCTCATGGTGGTCCAGCCGATAAGAAATCCTGCGAATTCCCGTCTTTCCCTTGATGAAATCTTTGATTCTCGGTGAGAGGACCACTCAAATCATTTTTTTATGGGGGGAGGACCCATAACATGAGAACGACGACCCTCAGATGACCTTCCTGAAGCTCCCGGGAACCCACCCCTGAATTTTTGCGGCGATCGGTTCAGGCGTTAGTGAATTTTGCGAATTTGTGATTTTTCAAATTTTTTCCGAGTTTTCGTATTTTCGTGGGTGAAGCACTCAAATAATTTTTTTAAGGGAGAAGGACTCATCGCATCGGAGAACTGACCCCCCTATAACCACCGCTGGATCGCCCAGAACACGCTCACAAATTTTCACGACGATCGGTTCGGCCGTTTTCGAGTCTATCGGGTACCCCGGACAGACAGACAAACAGACAGACAGACAAACAGACAGACAGACAAACAGACATACGTTTTTATATATATAGATGCCTAAACATTCAAATCAATGATACCTGAATGTCTGATCGAGCTTGCACACATGACCCAGCCATAACGCGACGGGCAGTATGCTCTAGAGCCTCCCGTCAAACCCCGACCCGGATCTCCGGATAATTCGAGCAGCCTCCCATTTTTCGCTGGGTCCTCACTGTCTGGTATGCCGGTCGATCTCTCCGAATCAATATTTGCTTTGGGTTCAGAGCAAGTCCGGTCATGCCGGTTGGATTTTCAGACTGAACCCTTCTCTCCTGGAGTGGAGCTGTTCCGTCGCGAGATATGTTCCCGCTTGTCGGAGCCGGGATCAAAACTTGGTACCCCGTAAGCTGCAAAAACACGGATCTTTGAGCAGCCGAATAATTTGCCGGCTCGCAACAAATGTCGAGCTGGGTCTGCACCCGGTGATTGTCTGCAGCCCGGTGCGATCTCTCTCTTCTCATGGAGATCGATCGCGGCAGCACGCTCCCTGTTGAATCGTTGCGATCCCTACGCAATGTAAGACCGGGAAAAGCGCATTTGCCCGCGCTTCGCCGGCCTTCGACAACCCTTCGGCTTCCGCGGAAAGTGACCGACTACAGGTTGTTCACACTCTCCTCCAAGAAGACGATCCCGACGTCGCCGAGCTTTCGCAGATCTTCTTCGGGGGGAGCTCGAACCGCTGGGAGTAGAAAACTCGACGGTCCTCTGTCTGAACAGCATTGAAGGTTCTCACGTTAATCCTTCGAGCTCTCGCCCGGTCTAAGGCGGCTTGTGATATGGTGGTTTCGATCAAAATCCTTAGAATCAACATCCCGTTTGATGGTATGAAGCAGCAGTGGGGACTCTAACTACAGACTACAGATCCCCGAGGGAACACGAATACGTACGAAAGATCCGTTGCCAAGCAGGCGTGCCCCAGAGGTAATGCTCAACGGTGTAGAACAAGACTCGCTCATCAATTACGCGCAGTACTCACAGTACTGGGAAAACACCTGTTACGTTCCGCTGACTGAACGGAACTCTCGCTCATTCAATGCCTCCCAGCCGCCGATATTCGTTCGAGCGAATCCTGCCCGATACACGAATCTCTTGCTAGAACCCACTCCTGAGCAGCGCTGAACAAGTTCGTTCCGCTCGTTCTGCTCCGGGGAGCAAACTACCTATTCTCATTCAGAAACCGATGGCCAGAGGACTGATAACACGAGCAACGCTCGAGCTCAGGCTCAAAGATTCGTTCTTTTGAGCTTTCGTCTTCCTGCACAGATATAGAAACGGGACAAGAATCTGATCCTCTGATCATCCATCTAAACAGGAACGGATCGATACAGCTTCACTTGGAGCTCCTTCGTGCCACAGTCTACTTGCCGCTTGCCCTTCCGGAGCCGGCCTGGGAGATGGCTAGCCCGGAGAGAGACGCTGTCATGGCTCATTCCTCAGGGTCGGTCATAGGGACGGTTCCCTGCATGATCCTGACATTTGGAGGACGCGAACAAGTGGTTCAACAGGTCATTAGCCGCTATCAACGGATTTCGGCTTGGCTGAGTCTCTTGCGGTCGGCTAATGATTAAGTTTGTGAGATATGTGTCGCCACCGAGAGTCGCCGTCCATGTCTAACCAGGAGAGCTGGAGTGGAGAGCTTCTGCTCACGCGAATAGGCGTCCACTCCACCGTCTACGTAGCCAGTTGTCGCCTGTCATGATGCAGTTCCGCTAACTACGTCGCTGGCTGCAGCTCGCTCGGCGAACGTTCTTTTGCGACACTTGGATGGGGGCGCAGAAGCTCATCAATTATTTGCAACGATACGAAACATCGTAGTCTCATGTGCTGCAACCTAATTGTTAGTACCTCCTCATGGGATCAGAGGATCTGTTAGCGGCAGCAGTCCAACATGAGCAAAAAACTCCGGAGAGTAGCAGCTTCGGCTATCTCGAATAGCTTCCCGTGGCCGGGGCGGAAATATCCGCGGACTTCGTGTTCCCATCTGGAAGTTTCTTGTTGCTATTGTAATCATTGAGTCACGCCGTACCGTGCAGTTGCGACCATGCACGTCTGGACGATCACCTACATTCATTTTTTTTCCGTGATACGACATGTACATACATAGTTATCTCAGAGCGAGTCACACCGTTGCCCTATCTGATGTGTCAACGTCGTCAGACTCTTGGAGGAATGAAACACGCACCTCACCCGTCGGCTCCCTGCCTGTCTCTGTCCAGGCGGCAGGCTCGCTCGGTCGGTAACACACACGCGAAGGCAGGCGTATCCTGCACGACATTATCGACCCGTGCAGCGGTGGACAGCGAAGTCTCCTACTCGTATCGCCTCCGCGTTCTGATTGCTGATATTCAGACGCTCCGATTCCAGATTCATTCGGAGAACACTCAACTCGCGAACAACTTGGGATTTTCTCGTATCCGCTGTCGCTCGCCTGTTTTGTGATTGCCCCGATCCGAGATCTCCATTGCCGCCGCCGCCGTCGCCGCCGCTAGGAGGGTGGGTGTATCGACAGAGTTGCCAGTCGGGTCTTCCTTCCCACGGAAGAAAGGAGACATTCGACACTTAACGTTCCTACGTCGAGAGCTTTTTACCTCCTTCTATTTTGTGCCGATACGACCCTCAAGGCGACATCTTTCCGTTGTGGCTCGAGCACCCTCGAGTATAGCTGACACACGGACGGCACTGCAGTCGTGACCCGCTGCAGATGGAAGAAAGCTGTCCCGGAAAAAGGTTCCTTCAGCTCCATCGAAGGAATCCGAGGAGCGACCGGACTCGGGCGGAGAGGCCCGGCCGCCGAAGGCTCTTAGCGATATTCTTGTCGTCGATGAACTTCACACCGCTATTGTTTTCTCCGGCTATAGAAGATACAATACTTCTCGCTTCTCTGGCCCTCGTAGCTCTCGAGATCTGCGGTGAATTATTACCAGAGCGGCCAGGTTCCAAGAGAAGCTTGACAAGACATCTTACAAGCAGGCTTACTTCTTCAAAGAGATGACAGCGTCGGTAGGATTCCGAAAACACCGAAATCCATCATTGTAACGATCGTTCCATCGATCGCCGACACCGGAGACCTCGAGCGGAGCTCAGTTTAACGTCCGCAAGTAGGTCACGATTACGACGCGTCGGAAATCTTCTATGTATCAAATTCTCCGAGGCTGCGAATTAAAAGAACCTCACACCTGTTCGAATATAGCACCGGGAGGACTGTCTACAAACTTCCGAGGGATCAGCCCCGATCGGAGAAACCGCTGGAAAGCGAGCAGCTCGATCCGTCGAAATCGACTTCTGATTTTGTAGATTCGCGCGTGGGGGTTGTATATCGAGAACGTAATCCAGACCCTCCGGGAGGTTGTCCCTGGCCATTCTCCCGATCGCGGGGAACGATCGCCAAGTTGTGGAGCGTCGGCTCTGTTTCCGAACGGGGAAAAATTTCAAGTTCACCAGAAAATTCGTCACGGCTCTCTCGCGCAATAACCGATCGGGGAACCGAGCTCGGATCGGAGTGTGAGTCTCGAGCTTAGTCAAGCATAGACGCGATCTCGGTCAGAAATATCACCGCTTCCGCTCTGAGGAAAAATGAGTTTTGTCGGTTGCTTTTTAGCAAGCCTACATTCGCAAGCCTCGTCCACAGGAGGGGCGAACGCTCCCGCTTCGGGATAGCTATAATAAAGTTGCGGTGACATATCCGCACGGAAGATGGTCGGGTATGGAGAGGTGGACGCTTGTGCTTGTTTCCGATCGATTGTCGCCGGAACGACTCGGCGGAGTGATCCTTCGAACACATCCGAAGCTCCGAAGTAGGCTCGTCGCAAAACGAACGAAACTCCTAGTTCGACGAGGTCCCTCGCAGCGATTTTGCCGTAAGAATCCTGAACGAGCCGATTCCTTTTGCTCGTCGAGAGACTGCATTTCCCACTTTCTACCAAAACAGGGGCGTCGAGGCTCCCTTCGCTTCCGAAACCCTTTTCCTATTGGAACTCGATGCTTCGAAATTGTTCGTGTCAGAAATAGTCATGTGTCTGAAGAGCGTTATAGTTATCCGTCACGACAGGTCCACTCTCGTGTCGCGCATCCACGACAACAAGCACGCCAACCGCATGCGGGTCGTTTCCTCGGAGGAGACAAGCACATTTCTCAGGTAACGTCCTGATTTTCGCAGAAACTTCGCGTACAGTATTTGTAGAGGAGATTGGCAGACGGGCTACACGCTGAGAATTCTGCAAAACACACGATTATTCTCTCCTCGTCGGCCTCATGAATTTTTCAGGAGACAAAAGAAGAAATTTACATATTTCGACAAGTGCTTGACACCTCGATGACGTCATGTTCTGGAAAAGCGGGAGAACACTTCGCCGGCGGCAAGGGAAACACTTTAGGTTTTTGGGACACTTTCCCCCGCTGCAAGCTCAACCGCCATACAATAAGGGGAAGAGCCAGAGACGACAAAACTCCTATCCGGGTTTCGCGACCTGAGACGGAGGCATGCCCGCATAATTCCGTCTCGTCCCGGTGAAGATATCCGCTCCACATGCTTCTCTTTGTTTTGTCTGTCACCTCCGATTCGCATGTCTCGGAAAAAACTGAATTATTATCGAGCTTGCTCAAGATTTGGAACAGCGCTTCGCGATCCCGCTAAATCTTCCAGACCCGATCACTTGTCCCCTGTCCCTCGCTTTCAGCTCAAAGTCCGTCGAGGGATCAAGAGTCTGATCCCTCACGTTGCTCAATGGGAGCTAATTCATCGGAGCTGAATCCTGGACCCAATTTCGAAAACAACGAAAAAGAGCAATTGTGATCCAGAGTTCTCTCTCGAGGCTTGAGAATCGGATGGAATCCCTAGATTGGTTCCTCTCCAACTCCGACGGCTCCAGAAGTCAGACTCTTTTCTTCCGTTCGTTCGAGAAAATTCTGCTTCCGCAGAGGAGCGATCCATCGGAGCTCAAGACCTCGACAGGAACAGCGTACGAGCCACGGCGGCATCAACGGTGACCTTTTGCATCATGATAGTGGTCATGAATACGGTTCCATTTGCGTCGGTCGCTGCGGAGGAAGGGGTCGTCAGTTCGGAAGATAGCGAACAAGCCGAACAGCTCGGAGACCGAATAGCTACCCGGTCGGGCCATTGGAGGTCCTCTAACGTTTTTTAACGCCCGCCATCCGGTGAGTCCGGTTGTGCATAGACACGCGTGATGAAGATGAATTAGGGCGCGCGGTGCTCTATTTGGAAAGCCCGCACATAGGCGCCGAGGCCCGCGGAGCTCTCCTTCGCCTCCGTCGTTGAGCCAACGCATCCACAAACGAGTCCTAATTCAGCTGGTACTCCTTCCCGAAAGTCGGGAACGTTTTCCGCTTTTTAGGATTCTATTCTGCTTGCACCAAGAGCCGGCTCAGCCGCAATCCTCCCCAATTCCCGAATGAAAAAAGTGTCCTCGATGCTTCCCCTACGGAGCTCACTACCCACAGTTTCTATCGGAAGATGGCCGCAGCATAACCTACCCAATCTTACTGATGCCTGCGAACTGTTTCGAGGTCCTGCTGGACCTGGACAGCCTGAGGAAGCTGCATATCCGACCGTATCCGACTCGGATTTCCCGCTCTCAACCATCGGGTTAACGATGTTTTCATGGTGACTCTTATTCCTGTGTGCGCCGGGCACACTACGATGCTAAATCCTCAATCTAATTATCAATTACTCCTCATTACCAAGTTCGCAGCACGAAAAAAATCGCTACCCCTCAAATGACAAACAAAGCGGAGTCTTCTGGCGGGGGTGCACACCAGAGGCTGCTCTGGCCGAAGAACGATGTTCTGGAGCAGACTCCCCTCAAGTTCTGTGCTAATCGGAGAGAATTGAGTCGAAACTCCTTGTCAGGCAAGGCTCCGACAACTCGCCAAGAACGAGACCGCAAGCAATCGATACCATCCCGCGCAAAAAAGCACAAACATCTTCGAAAATAGAGTTCCGAGCGATCGCTAGCAACGATTGAAGCAGTCAGGTAAAGTCAGACACAGGGACCGACCTTGGGGGAATCAGGAGACCTGCATGGAGAATCGAGAGAGACCTCCAGCTTTCGTTACCGCTCCGATATGCACCAGATGATGAGTCTCGGTAAGTTTCGAGAAAATCCCGCATTCGCCCCATTTGAAGAATGAAGAACCGAAAATAAAGCTCTCTCCCTCGATCGTATATGAGTTCCGCTCAGAATTCGGAATCATAAGTCAGGCTCGGATGCCACGTTGACTCGGTGTTGTTTAATGTTCGTGTCACGCTGTGACGTGCTGATGGCGCGAAGGCGCGGGGCTCCAAGCGAACTGTGTAGGGTTAATCAAGCTAAAAGTTGCAGATCGCCAGCAAACTCAGCACTGATACTATAGCTCCACTTTTGAATGCAGCCCTGAGCCACTGTAAGCGAGCGAACGCGACAGGACTACCGGCACTTATCTCTTCTCCAACCTCAAGAGACCTGAGTGGCCGCTCGACAACTGCAAATTGCCTTTTCTGCTCACTACCCGCTACCGAGTTCGCGCGCCGGCTTTCGATCCTGTCGTCGTGGGCTTGGGTGACGTGTACGGAAAACACATGAGCTTCACACGTTCCGTCACTATCCGTGCGATCGCACCTGAGCTTGCTCTCTGAGCGCCGCTTAATCCGCGCTGTGTCTAGTTATCACACTCAGGGCGTGATTGGAGTTTTCTGGCTTCTCTCGCGAGCCCGACGGGGCCTTCTTGATCTCGCGGTTACTGGGCGCTGGGCGATACGAGCCGGCAGGTACTCGCTGGGCGATCTCGAAGATTTTTCCCGTTTCGAACAAGATCCCTCGAGTTTATGCGATTCTTTGCCTTCAACCTGCCAGCGACTCCCCCTCAGTAAGAATCAATGAAGCCGTGAGAGGGGGCACAGTGCCCTGTGAGCGAGTCGGAGCCGGGTTTCTCCGGGTGTGGAAAAAACGGACGACCGAGTTCGAAACTTCCAGGATCGTCCCAGAACCCGACGAAACGAAAATCAGCTCTTGGAGA